ATCTGGATGATCTAAATCTGTAAGTGTTAGGAAAGTATATATGTGTAGATGTATCTATCTGGATGATCTAAATCTGTATGTGTTAGGAAAGTTTATATGTGTAAATGGTTGTATCTGGATGATCTAGACGTGTATGTGTAAGGAAAGTATATATGTGTAGATGTATCTGCCTGGATGATCTAAATCTGTATGTGCTAGGAAAGTATATATGTGTAGATGTATGTATCTGGATGATCTAAATGTGTATGTGTTAGGAAAGTATAAGTTTGTAGATGTATCTATCTGGATGATCTAGACGTGTATGTGCTAGGATAATTATTAATGTATATATGCATGTGTAGATGTATCTATCTGGATGATCTAAATGTATATGTGTGAGGAAAGTATGTATGTGTAGACGTATGTAGATCTATCTATCATGATTATCTAAATATGTATGTGTTAGGAAAGTATATATGTGTAGATGTATCTATCTGGATGATCTAAATCTGTATGTGTTAGGAAAGTATATATGTGTAGATGTATCTATCTGGATGATCTAGACGTGTATGTGTAAGGAAAGTATATATGTGTAGATGTATCTGCCTGGATGATCTAAATGTGTATGTGCTAGGAAAGTATATATGTGTAGATGTATGTATCTGGATGATCTAGATGTGTATGTGCTAGGAAAGTTTATATGTGTAGATGTATCTGCCTGTTAGATCTAAATGTGTATGTGCTAGGAAAGTATATATGTGTAGATGTATGTATCTGGATGATCTAAATGTGTATGTGTTAGGAAAGTTTATATGTGTAGATGGCTGTATCTGGATGATCTAAATGTGTATGTGTTAGGAAAATATATATGTGTTGATGTATGTATCTGGACGGTATATACGTCCACATGTATATCTGTGAATGTACGTATCACGACAGTTTATAAGTCTACATGTATGCATGTATATCAATGTCGTTTACATGTGTACCTGTGTGTATCAGGGCGATATACATTTTTTCACAAATATTTCGGGAAGGTTTATTTATGTACCGATATGCACAAGGGAAGTATATATACTGTAAGCCATTAAGAACGCCATTGGTATTTGTTGTCCTGAAACTTACAAAAGTTCTGTTGAAGATTTGTTCCTGCGATACAGAGGATGTAGGGATAACAGGCTGTTATTCTGGCCCATTTCGAGTTCGAGTTCCGGAGCATTCCTCTCACATGAACTTTGATACTTAAAACTGAACCTTTGACATTTCTCGTAAACACAACCACATTCATGAAACACGTTGTGCACATGCATTACCTGCACCCAGGCCCTGTAAAAGCACAAGGAATTGTGGAACTCAATCACTTTGAGAAAATGCCACACTTGACACAAGACGAAAGGAATCAGGTTATGGGTATGGTCAGCCACGGTGCTTCAGATGTGATGATTGCCAGGCACTGTAATGTGCATCCATCCACTGTAAGTCGACTCAGACAACGTTTTCGGGCTACCGGAAGTGTTGATGATCGTCCGCGACCTGGTGCAGCACCTGTGATAACAGCTCGACAAAACCGCAATATCCGAGTTTCACACTTGCGAAATCGGTTCCAAACAGCTGATGATTAGGCAAGGAGGACAATTTGGACAAGTCAACGTCATTTCAGCGCCCAAAAGGTGCAAGGACGCCTTGCTGCCTTCAACATCCGGTGTCGTCACCCGTACCGTGGTCCAACCTTATTGCATCGCCACAGACTTGCCAGACAGCGATGGGCAGCAAATGGGGCCAATCGTGGCAACAGGACATGGCCAGATGTCATTTTTCAGATGAATCCAGGTTTAAGTTATCCTGTGCAGAGAGAAGAGTTATCCTGTGCAGAGGAGAAAGACTTGCGTCAAACTGTGTCCTTGAACATGATCGTTTTGGAGGGGGTGGTGTCATAATCAGACCACAGACCATAAGAGGCTGCAGACCATCCAACAGCTGTTCCTGAGAAATGTGTGTCTTTCAATGCCCCAAAGACTGCGAGCATGTCTTGCAGCGCACGGTGGATACACACGATATTGACTGCAAGTGACCCCTCCTTTGCGTGATGTCCTTGTTGCGTCACTGATGTTGTTGTGGACTGGACATTTTCAGATGAAATTATTCACAGATGTTCACTTAAAACATATCTGCCAGTTAGGTTTATATATGTTGAAATTAGTGTGAGTAAAGAAAGTATGAATGTCAAATTGCATTTTTAATGGCTTTCAGTATATGTTTACGCATTTGTACCAGGACGGTACATATTTTTATCTGTATATATCAGGATATGTATATGTATGTATGTGCCAGGACGGTGTACGGTTGTGCAACGAAATGCCATCTTCATGCAAAAATTAAAGTAACATGATTTGTGGTGTTTTCATTAATGACTGCTGACAGGATAATATTGAAATCTGTATCGTGACACGCCCTTGAACAGATGTGGTGTCAGTATCGTGTGGTTCCACCATCGTTCATGCAGGCTTGAAAACGACGACGCATAGGCGACACTAAGCGATTAAAGAAAGATTGGGGAATGTTGTTCTATGTCTGAACCACTATGTCTGAGCCACTGCTGACAGGATAATATTGAAATCTGTATGATTTGACACTATGCATCGTGACACGCCCTTGAACAGATGTGGTGTCAATATCGTGTGGTTCCACCACCGTTCATGCAGGCTTGACAACGACGACGCACAGGCGACACTAAGCGATTAAAGAAAGATTGGGAAACGTTGTTCTATGTCTGAACAAACGCTTGTCCAAATTCAGCTAACGGCAATTGCTGATTCTGGGCTTGACGTAAAGGTCCCTCCATATCTTCCAAACCGTGCACTAACAGGCATTATCTTGCTGAAACGTGAAGTCTCTGTCCTCGAATGAACGTGGACATTTCACTATATTCCATTCCTTGTTCAAATGGTCAAAGGGAATCAAAGTTCACCTTATATATACAATGTGTGCACGACAAGTACAAATCATAGTCAAGGCGAAACCATGCACACACATAATGTGTAACGTATCTATGTCCTGATTTCATAGAATTCATCTCACAAGAACAGATAAGAATATGAATATATACAACTTCTGTCTCAGTGTCAAGTATTTTTCAATTTCTCTCCGCTCACTCATGTTTCCATTACGTGTGAACATATCTATGGAAAGGTCGGAAGTCCTATTTACAACGCTTGTCACTGAAAAGAACTACATTCTCGGTAACTGAAGCTTGATCATAACAAGCAATTGTTAAACATCTATTGAATCCATGTTCGTGCGTGACTGGAGCAATGGCCGGAACAGGCGTTTTCAAAGTGTTTTTAATCAGTGCCTGTAAAAGATATACGATATGGTTCAAGAAATAGTTCAACAATGGCAGGCAAAGACAGTTTCATACATATCTCACACATTTGTAACAAAAGAACAAACACTTTTGTCTAAATAAGATATTAACCAGTGACGTCAATTCATGACTACACACGTTTAAACACCTTTACCACCTATTGTGATCAAGAGAAAGTGACCATATGCTTGAGTGAGGTGATCGAAGTTCGTGCCCAATTACTGCCAACGTCTGACAAGTTATTGTTCACCTTCACATGTAACGTGGCGACAGTAAGATAGATCTATTGCAGGCCAGGCCTATATAAGAGACAGTTGATTGAAGCACATCACCACTTGTTCCAGACATCCAAGATGGCATCTCTCGTGGTTGTTTTCCTGCTATTGGCGTGCTCAGTCCAACTGTCCTCCTCGAAACAGGTCCCTGAGGATTCGGTCCAAGAGCTATACGGCGTCGCCAGCAGCTATTCAGAGTGCACCAACATCTACTGGAGAAGACTGCGATATGCCAGAGGCATCGTTTTGGTTGTGAGAAGCGCATGCAGGAAGGACGGGGACAGTTTCCGGGCGGCCTTGAACAACCTCCAATGTTCTGACATAACGAGTGCCGTCTCTCGATACTGTAGTCGAAGATACATCAGGTTTTGGGCTACCAATTTGGTGTGTCGGTTTGCCAGGAAAGTCAATGAGTGCTGTGAAGAAAGCGATGACAGAAGCCCTTCGTGTAAACTCGCAATGTCTCGAATGCCACGACGATGGGCTAGTTTAACGTGTGAACGGTACGAAAGCTATTGCAAAAGCTCCCGGCTCAGTTATTACACAAGATTTCTGTGCCGACTGACCGAACAATTCTATTCTCAATGCTGTGGAGATAGCCCAATGACAGAGCCAACAACAACTACACCTGAACCAACGTCAGTGACAACTGAACTGCCTACAGCACCACCAACCACAACCGAAGTTCCAATGACAGAGCCAACAACAACTACACCCGAACCAACGACAACGACAACAGAGGTCCCCACAACTGAGCCGCCTACAACCCAACCCACCACGACTCCCTCAGGACCATCCCTGCCAGAAGTGGCGGATAAAACATTCTGTAAGTATTTTTCTCTGTTTACTCCATTGTATAATAATTTTCATGGCTCAGTGCAAAAGACAGGACTCAACACAAAAAGTACTAGAATCTGTACTTTACTAAGAAAGTGTAATCCCAAATATAACATATGTTGCATTTGACCACTTTCTAAAATGGCATTGTGTACTTCATAGCTTTCGGCCGTGGTAGCCGTGCCAATTAACACTTATCAGAGAGGTACACAAAGTCCGCAGTCTAGACTACCAGATGTCCGACTTCCATTTTGTAGCTGAGGTCTAGGCGTCTGACTTTGTGTGCTGACGATTAGGTGCCTGACTCTGAGAGTGTGGGCTCGAATCCCGGATGGGACTCAACCCAAAAAGTACTAGAATCTGAACTTTACTAAGAAAGTGCAATCCCAAATATAACATATGTTGCATTTGACCACTTTCTAAAATGTCATTGTGTATTTGATTATCCAACTTATGTAGTTGGACACTGGTATGTGTTGCTCCTGTGAAAGGTAAAAAGATGTATTGTCAACCGGTGCTGTACTATTTCCCATGTGAATTCGCAGTAACCGCTTGCCCGCAAGAATGTGTCCACAACGATCTGGTCGGTTCGCGGTGTACTGGAGCAACGCTTTCCGAGGAATGTAACAACCTTCAACCTCCGGCGACTGACGGCTCGTACACCTGCTGTTCGGGTTAACAACGGTAAGCCTTATATTGGCATGTTTGTGGGGTTTACACAATTCGAAGTTATCAAACAAAGTCATAAATCGACTAGAACATGTTCATGCTTCAAAACATTACTTAGAAAATATGTATCAGTTACAACAATCAGACGACTGAAATGATGTCATGTATAACAACCAATTATAAAGTATACATACCATTATCACTCTACTTAACTGTTGATCCCAACATAGAGTAGTGTCCATTTGTATTTGTTCAGACGCGAAGGCCATATCTGTAGTATATACCCACCGATCCAGATTTACTAAGAAGTTCAATCTGTTTTGAAAATAATGAAAATGTTTGTAGTCAGCAATATTAGCAATATTCCAGCAACATCACGGCGGATACACTAGAAATGGTCTTCACACATTACACCCATGTGGGAAATCGGACCCGGGTCTTCAGCATGATGAGCAAACCCGCCGCCCCAGATTTACTAAGACCTTCAATCTATTTTGAAGATAATGAATATGTTTGTATTCAGCAAAATCTTGAAGTGTCGATACATCTCAGTTGGGTTTCTTTATTTCAGTGAACGCCTCCACATTTCAACCGAACGCTAAACTCCATCCGATTTCTATTTTCAATATTCAACAAAAGCTTTCGAAAAGTAAACAGGATCTTCTTATTGAAGAGAGTCTTGTCCGTATGCAGACTGATTGTGGACATCAACTGCCAGCAGTGAAGTCCAGCCTGTGCTGCAACAGCACTGTCAGCATTGGCAGAAGCCATCGAAATTATCACGGCATCGTTGCAGGCAAATATCATTGTACATCTCGACACGAACTCTTCTCCTTCGCCAACCTTCCAAAATGAAAATAAAACTGGTAATGCAGCAATATGTTTTCTGTCTTCACTTCATGTTATATAGTGCCCAGCTTACAAAACAGCAAACCAAGATGGCCTTACTTTGTACATCTGTGATTCCAACAGGTTGTTAAGTTTCACATGTCATTGAGGGCGTTTAGTCATAGGAGACAAGATAATACATTGTGATTAATCAGCAATTCTTCTAGTGATTTATTAATAATAATAGTCCACTTATATGGTGCTGATATCCAGGCACAATGCCTGCTCACAGTGCTAGATACATCACTATCCCCGGTCATAGGACACTATGTTTAACTGCTTCTTGTAGTATAAGTGGGGTGGCAATATGACATGGGTTTTAATCCGGACTAATATATTACAAAATGCAGAAAGAAAGAAACGGGGACAGAGACAGAGAGAGAGGCGGAGAAGAAGACAGAGAGAGGGCATGAAAGAGAGAGAGAAGGGGAGTGCGTTTTCGTTTATTAATTTATGGCACTTTAGGTGTTTTTGCTTTCTAGCGCTTGGAGCCCGCTGAGTGAGTCAATAAGAATCAATATGTTCTTGTGTTGTTTGACGTGCAGGTCATGGAGTGTTGTTACTATGTCGTGAGACTTGATTAGCTGTGTGGAGTCTGTAAGATTTGTTTGTCTAGAGGGTTGTGATGTGTGTGGGCGTGACCCGAGTCAAAGGATCCATCTGTGTAAATGTGGCACCACTTTGGTCAGTGTTCATGTATGTAATCTAATGCTGTGTTTATATATATTAGTTATAGAAGTACATGTGAAATATAGACTGTTATAAGATGACGGCAAAGGAAGCCAGTAGTTAATTAGCCCTACAAGTGTAAAGGGACGGACAAATGGAAGTCAGGGATTATTAATCAAGGCATCAGTGATGAGATAACAATGGTGACATTTAAGAAGGAGCCAGTAGTTAATGGAGCTGATGGGAAATGACAATAAACAAATATTAGCCAGTAATTAATCCAGGCTTAATTGTATTGTATTAATGATGCAATAAAAGACCCACGTGAAATGATACGATAAGACATTCCCTCCACATTTGTCAAACTACATTAGGACAGTCGCCTTTAATTTCCTGATACAGTAGGATAGTCACCTAACAAAAGACCTGATACAATATTACACTCACCTCACAAATGACCTGATACAGTGGGACAGTATCTTAACAAATGACCGGATACAGTAGGAGAGACCTAACAAATGCCCTGTAACAGCAGGATAGTCACCTAACATATGACCTGATACAATATTACACTCACCTCACAAATGACCTGATACAATATTACACTCACCTCACAAATGACCTGATACAATATTACAGTCACCTCATAAATGACCTGATACAGTGGGACAGTATCTTAACAAATGACCGGATACAGTAGGAGAGACCTAACAAATGCCCTGTAGCAGCAAGATAGTCACCTAACATATGACCTGATACAATATTACACTCACCTTACAAATGACCTGATACAGTGGGACAGTATCTTAACAAATGACCGGATACAGTAGGAGAGACCTAACAAATGCCCTGTAACAGCAGGATTGTCACCTGACATATGACCTCATACAATATTATAGTCACCTCACAAATGACCTGATACAGTGGGTGAGGTGGGGTGAAATTGGGTTTTACGTCGTGCTTGAGATTATTTCGCTTATATGACGACGTGCATGCATGTGTATGTGCATGTGTATGTGCGGCTGCTTGTACTAGCCCAGACTTAAGCTGGTTTTATAGTGCTAGCCCACTGCGATACCATGCCGCAGTGAAGCATGAATACCCCACTCAGACACATTATACTGACTCCGATCCGACCAGTCCTTTTTGTACCCATTAATGCCAAGCGCCAGAGGGGGCCAACAAGTACCATATTTTAACGTCTTTTGGTATGACGCGGCCGGGAATCGAACCCGCGACCTTCCGCTCACCGGGCGGACGCTCTAACCACTAAACCACGGAGGCGGTCAGATACGGTGGGACAGTCACTTAACAAATGACCGGATACAGTAGGAGATACCTAAAAAATGACCTGAAACAGTAGGATAGTCACCTAACATATGACCTGATACAGTTGGACAGTCACGTTACACATGACCTGATGCAGTAAGATAGTCACTTAACAAATGACCGGATACAGTAGGAGATACCTAAAAAATGACCTGAAACAGCAGGATAGTCACCTAGCAAATGACCTGATGCAGTAAGATAGTCACATAACAAATGACCTGATACAGTTGGACAGTCACCTAACAAATGACCTGATACAATAGTACACTCACCTAACAAATGGCTTGATGCAGTATTACAGTAACCTAACAAATGACCTGATACAGTAGGACATTCACCTCACATATGACCTGACACAATATTACAGTCACCTTACATATGAGCTGATACAGTAGGACAGTCACCTTAGCTATGAGAGTGTCACCATAATGTTTAATGTGTTGACAAACGAGACACATCGTGACGTACTGACAAAAAGTTCAAACAGCACAAGCAGTTGTATAGACCAATCCCCAAAGATGAAAATGACAAACATGAAGCATTCGGTCATCCAATATCCTCGCGCGTCCAAGACACAGGTGCACCTTTGTTCTCATGCTCCTTATCAAGTTCATAAAATAAAACTTGCAGAATATCATTTCATTCCTCTACTAGAGCTCTGCAGTGTCCTGGGAGAAACACTGGTGCTGGGTGACGTGTGTACACACGTCAACCGAGCTCATCTCAGGCATGCTCAATTTGGTTGAGGTCTGACGAGCATGCTGGCACTATATCCGCTCTACACCCTGCTGCCTAAGGAATTCCGTGCCAATCCTGGCCCTGTGAGGACAAGCGTTGTCGTCTTGCAGTAAAAGAGGGTCGACCATAAACGCCATGCATAGCTTGCAGGAATGGTACTGCTATAGCAGCCAGAATCTCGAAACGATAACGCTGTCCGGTAAGATTACCGTCGACCACGTGCAGTGGAGTACGTCCAGTGACAGTCCCTTCCCAAACCATGACCGACACCCCGTCAAATCTGTTATGCGTGGCCACAGTTGCATCTGTGACCATAAATCCTCTGCCGACCATCATGAAAGGACAAATTGATTCTGCGAGACCATTGGCGTTGATTCCAGCGGCCATGTCTTCTCCATCTCAAACGCGCCTGGCTGTGACGTGGTGTTGTGGTGGACGAACTGCAGGTCGCCCACAGCGGAGTCCAGCTGCCCTTAAACGACGAACGGTGCGCCTGGATATCCTTACATTGTTAACATTGATGTGTTCTGTTGAGGAATATGTTACGTAACGCAGTGTAAATCATGTGCCTATTATCTGACTGTTGTCACTCTTGAGCGACCTGGTCGACGTGCATATTCCACGGACCCATTGGCTTGAAATATCTGCCCCAATTAACCAGTAGGACTCTGACTCACATTAAAGCGGACAGCAACCTGCTGCTGAGTTTGACCAGGGTCCAACAGGCCTATTGCCTGATCCCTTTCATTTTAAGCTGCGATTTCAAATAGGTACCCGAACAATGAACGACAGTGAAAAAGCATCAATGCTTGTGTATTGTCCCCCACTTTCCATGGATAGAGCGACACACACGTGGAAATCATTGTCATTAAATGGCAGGTGGATTTCTTATCTTGAAAATTTAAATATAAAATGTGACATTTGTAACAAATGTATCGGACGTAAAAAAACGTAATAATGACATTTCAGCGGCCTGATGTGTTTTTATACCGTTAAGAAAGCTTATAAAACATTCAGTTGGTCATATTTCAAAACGAAAAACGAAGATAGTATTTTAGAATCGTATACACGGTGACTATAATGTAAGGACGGTATATATGTATGGATGTGTTGACATTCATGGTATGCATGCAGCAAAGAAACGTTTGCTTTCAAAACCAAATGCAACATTTTGTTCTTACAACGTGGTGTTTTATTAGATGATTGTACCGTTTTGTTATCATTTATTTTCAATCCAAATTGACAGTTATTACAGACATCATTGTATTTTCTGACGAAAAAACATATCGATCAAACAGACCTAAAAGGCAGACCTGGTAAAAGGTTCTGTATGACATTCCTGAAAATCAAAATGCACTTGCATATCATGACAACCCTGTTAATGAAAGTGAGTCCCAAACTCGCCTGAAATCATATTTGTTTTGACACAATCGCCATGCCACATATTACGAAAGGTCAGAGGAACAAAGCTTTGGGACGACTGCAAGTTGGCCAGACTGCATGGAGGGTAACCAATCATTTTAATGTTTATGTTAGGACAATGTACCAACTGCAGGAGCGGTATCAGGCCACCAACAGCATCCAAGACCTTCAGTAACATCACAAAGTCAAGACCGACAGGCCGCAACCATTTGCAGGATCGCTTCACCAGAGCGACTGAAACAGCACGCCAGACCATTGGGACTCACAACAGACCCATTAGTGCCGGTACAGTGCGTCGACGTTTGCGCGGAAGAAACCTCTACTGTCACAGACCATATCATGGTCCTGTTCTCAACGCTCATCACAGCCCAAAACAACTGCAATGGGCAACTCAGCATCGAAATTGGGGAGCATTTCGCGGAGTATGGAGCCAAGTGACTTTTTGGCCTTCGTTAATCGGCTAATTAATTCAATGTAAAGACGACGCAACACAGTCATCGATGCCCATGGAGGCCACACACGATACTGACTTTGTGGTATCTTAATGGTACCATTTTTGGTGATTTTGTTCGTGTGAACTCTAAATGTCATTCGCGGAAATATGTTAGCCATAATTGTCAACTTTGTGCTGAACCTCCGTTTCGATTGCTAATTAGAGCGAATTAAGGTATTTGCTTTAGGGAACCTCTGTCGGTGTGTCGTTTCTTGTGCGGTTCAGTATATGTGTACTTTATATATCATAACTCCACACACGTTTCCCTGTATGTAGTCAGGACGGTACACGTGCACTTGTGTGTATCGTTACGTTATATGTGTAGACATGTATGTACATTG